ATTCAGGACAGGTCGGGGTGGTTGGACTGGCTGAAGAGGGGGACAATGGTGACACCGGAGTGGCCGCCAACGACGGTGATGTTCTCGTCCTTGGGGTCGGTGCCCTTGATCTCGGAGACGAAGCGCGAGGCACGGACAACGTCGAGGGTGGTGACACCGAAGAGGCGCTTGGGGTTGTAGACGCCAGCCTTCTTGTAGACCTCGGCGCAGATGGGGACGGTCGAGTTGACGGGGTTGGCGATGATGAGGAGGTTGGCCTCGGGAGCCGAGTCGGCGGCGGCCTTGGCGAGGTCGCGGACGATGGAGGCGTTGGTGTTGAAGAGGTCATCACGGGTCATGCCGGGCTTGCGGGGGACACCGGCGGGGATGAGGACAACGTCAGCACCCTTGAGGGCGGCGGCGAGACCGGCGGGGGTGGCCTCGTAGCCGGTCACCTTGGACTTGGTGTTGACGTGGGAGATGTCGGCAGCGACACCTGTATTGGTTCGGCTCGTCAGTCATTTGTGCATGTAGGCATGGTGGCACGACAGGAGTTCGTACCGGGACCGCCGCGAATGTCATAGAGGGCGAGCTCAGTGACACGGGGGTTGAGCTTCAGGAGCAGAGAGAGAGGCTGGCCGATGCCGCCGGCGGCGCCGAGAACGGTAACCTTGGAGAGCTGTGACGGATCTTGTCAGTATGTGTTGCCTTCAGAGACCGAGGTATGTTCTCGGGAGCTAGATGCCGAGCTTCGCAGCAACAAGTGCTCGGAGCTTTACTGGCTTGCTGATTCGCAGCTGGGCCAGCTCTCGGCTTCCGAGCAAGGGAAGGGGAGGGGGAGGAGGACGTACGTCACGGGCGGTGGCCGAGAACATGCGGCGCTGGATCCTGGGGGCGAACATTGTGACTGAAGGGGCTGCTGAAGACGGCCTGGAGAATGTGCTGATGACGGACGGGTTGGGTATAGAAGTGATGGAAGGATGGAGAGCGCGAAATATTAAGGACGAGGAAGAGGGAAGGTGTGCCAGTGAAAAAAGATGGGCGCCGACATGGGATGTCTGCCACCCATTCGTCGCTGTGGTTCGTTGAGCCGGGAAGGCAGAATGGCGCTACCCCAAAGTGAAATAGCGCCATCTCGCTCGTTGGCCTTTTATTTTTTCCCCCCAAAAAAATACGGGGGAGGGTCGGAAAAAAAATCAGAAAGCCTGGAGCGCCCGTCGGGGGCGCCAACAGCTTGACTATTGGCGGGGGGGCCTGGCCGGCTGAGTCTGTCGGTGACGTGGGGTTGTGGCCCTGTGCATCACAATGAATCACTGAAGCTTACCTAGCTCGTCTAAACGTAAGGGACCAACCTATTGATAGAAAACCAAGCATCTCGCCGTGATCAACGTCCACCACCAGCAAATACCGACCAGCGGATCATCATGTCGCTCGTGCAGCTACAGCGACTGCTGCCGCTGCCGGAGGACGAATTGAAGCAGGTCCTTGACTATGGCGCGACATTGTCCAAGTCCGAGGCCGCAGAGCATTTTGGTAACCTGCTGGGCGACTCTCCGCAAGCCATAGAGTTTATCTCGTCGTTCAACTCGCGACGCAAAGACACCAAACCTGCACCAACCCCGAATTACACACCAGAAGCAAGCTCCGCGAACAACAGCGATGCGCCAAACGATGGTGTCCCCAGGCCGAGGCGAGGGCAGAAGAAGAAGAAGCCGGCCCTGCACACCCCTCCTCCCCGACAAGTTGAGGCCTTGCCCACGCCTGGTCTCAGCTACAGCAAAAAGAGTCAGCAAGAAGACTACATTGGCAAGCGACCGAGTCCCGCGCCTGCTACGGCCGCCACCTCCTCGGCGTTCAAGCCTCCCGCGAAGGCTGCGACACCCGCTCCTGCCCCTCCGGCGCAGAGAACAGCTGCCGGCTACCTTATATCAGAGGGCCCTCAGAAGGCGAAGGCCAAGTCCAACCCTGTGAGCCGCTCGTCGACACCCAAACCCGGCTCGACGACCAAGGTGTCCATCGCTGGCGGCACGCCTATGGCTGGTGCCTCGACCGCCCTCAACGACCTCGATGCTGCCATCAGAACGCTCGAGATGACGACCAACCCCACATTACAGGATAACGTCAACGCCCGCCGATGCAACTGTGTTGGTGCTCGCCATGGCGTCCAGGCGGCAGCTCCAAACTGCCTGTCCTGCGGCAAGGTTATTTGCCTGAAGGAGGGGCTTGGCCCATGTACCTTCTGTGGAGCACCACTCCTCAGCTCTGCAGATGTTCAGGCTATGGTCCAAGAACTAAAGCTAGAAAGAGGTCGGGAGAAGATGGCGGCCGATAGGGAAATCCACAAACGTGCCGAAGTCAGCAAGAAGCCGGCACCTTTCAGTCAGTTCAAAACAAGCAGCAGCAGCAACAGCCCCGCCGGTAATCCGCAGTTGTCCGATGCGGAAGCTAGGGCCAAGGCACATAGAGACAAGCTATTGAACTTTCAGGCTCAGAATGCGCAGCGGACAACGGTGCGCGATGAGGCGGCAGACTTTGACGTTTCCGGGGCTGCCGCCGGGACGGGGGGCAACATGTGGTCGACGCCAGAGGAGCGGGCGAAGGAGCTGAAGCGGCAGCAGAAGGTACTTCGCGAGATGGAGTGGAATGCCCGTCCCGAGTACGAAAAACGACGTCAGATTGTCAGTATCGATCTTGTGGGCGGACGGGTTGTGAAGAAGATGGCGGCTGTCGAGCGGCTGCCGTCACCAGAGCAGGAAGAGGATGATTCCCAATGGGACCAGGAGAACTATACACCACAGCCTCAAGGTGGCGGGGGTGCTTTTAGCCGCAACCCCCTTCTAGGCCACATGATTAAGCCTGTTTACGAGCCGAAAGGAAAGGCAGCGGAGCTTCAAGGCCGGCGGGATCGCAAGACGCAGTGGCGGCGGGTGCAAGATGACCTTCGGGATAACGAGGCCGTGATATTAGATGGAGGCGCGCATGGGCACGCATCGACAGCGGATGAGCCGGCATGCGGGTGAGTTGAAGGCTTGATGCCCCATTAATACCAGCATCTGAATATGACAGTGACGTGAGGTGAATCATCCTCAGCAAAGTGAAGCTGATGAACGTGGTGTTTCAGACAAACCTCATCGCTGGGAGAGTGTGCTCCAAGTTGACAAAACACGACTTGACCAATCATGAGAGGAAATGCTGCGGCAAAAGCAAACAAGATTCGGTGCACGTGACTTCGTGTCGTCCTGATCCCAGCACCCGCAGCACGCCATCTGCAGAAGGACAAGTGGGCCACGAGTCAGGGGTAGATGCGGAGGCGGCACAAGCGAGTCGTCCAGTTGCAACACCTTGATGATCTTGGGTCTGGGTTCAAATTACGGGACGCAGGAGTGATCGAGGCTATGAAAAGGCAAGACAATCAGACTGATGCTTCCACTGATGTCGGGGAGTTGAGAAACAATGAAGGCAATAGTACTGAGGTCCTGGTGACTGGTTCTTGCCAAGTTCCCGTGACTCGTTTCGGCCACGCCTGCCCCAGAGGGTCAGGCGTCAAGTTAGCCCCTGCGCTGGTCTTGGTCCTCGGGCGGAGAACCCAGTAGCAGGCCGCGGTTCGCTGTGCTTGGTCGCTCCAGGGGACCTTGCCAGCCGGTCGCGGGCAGGCACACCCTGACACCCCCAAAGCACCAGCCAGTCGACGCAAGTCCGAATGCGCTGCCCCCCCCCCCCCCCCCCCCCAAAGGGCCGCCCCGGCTTGCCCCTTTCCCGGGGGGGGGGGGGGGGCAGAAAAAAAAACCGTCCCGCTGGAAAGGGGGGGGGAAAAACCACCCGGGTAAAACCCTTGGCCCTTTCCCCCTTTCCCCACCTGACCTGGATCTGGCTCACACTCAGCGTCTGGACTGGAGCCCACCGCCGCTTCCAATCCAGCTATTCTCTCCGCGTCGTTGTCGTTTTCGTGCAGGCTTACCTTGACGTCCTCATCCGTCCCTTCCTCCTCATCAATTCTACGTTCCCAATTCACCCACCTCATCCCCGACAGGACAGGCGTCAACCTACAGGCCGCGTCACAGCACGCTCGCCTTTCATCATCCGCTCTTCCGCTCCGGTCATGATCTTACATCCAAGCCCGTCATCCTGACCCTCCACCTCACCCGTCTCGGCTCAAACCGCCTCGCCTGGGACGTACACGTACGCATTTGCCAGGCTTCCACATTTGTACCTTGGACAGGAGCCCATCGCAGCCGCTTCACCATCTTCCCATCGCCATCTGAGACACACTCGCGAATACCGCGACCCATCACGTCAGTCCCAGCATACCCGTACTCGCATGCAAAGTACGACGACCAGCGTTATGGACGCAGCAACCCGGCCGCATCAGCTGGGCCATGCACATACGGGTACAGGCACTGCCACTCACGACGCCAACGGCTCCTATGGCCGCTCCCAAATAGGCCACGCCGGTTCTGGCCATGACGGGAGGTTACTGTCGGATAATCTGCATCGATACGCCTCATCCACCGCGGCGCCCGACGCGCCTGCTGCGGCACCACCCACCCGAGACGCGCCATCACGAAATCCCGCTGTCGCTGCCCACCTCGCGCAGCCACCACAACCACAGGGTGTCGTCGATGCTCTCCATACCCTCGCACATCTCTCGGACGCTGCCGCCGCCGCTGCCGCACGACGACCACACGCTCCGCCTCATCAATTGACACCCGACGATACATCCCAAGACACGACACTGACTATCGAGTCGGACAACGTCTTTACCCCGCCTACCAGCCAACCGAGTCGACCCAGCCAGAGCGACATGCCCAAAAGCCACATGAACGGACACGCGTCGAGCCAGGAGTCCCAGCTTCTTCAGCTCTCTCAAATTGCTGCTGCACAGGACAAGATGTACAACCCCGAGGCAACTTCTCTATCGCGCAAGAGGACAGCCGATGGCGCAGTCAAGGACACAAACGTGTCGCCCGTGCGCGGCGGTCACTCCAGGAACACGAGCGCAGTCTCCATGGCGTCGACGACGGCAAGCACTATTGGCGATGTAAGTTCACCTACCATCTCCGCTATGGGGAATTGCTAACCATGTGCAGCTCTCGAGCGACCTCAAGACGCGTCTCTCGTACGCCATGGTGAAGTTGAATCACGGCTGGCAGTCACATTCTATCGACGAGGTCGAGTCGATGGCTTCACAAGCCGCTTCGCCCACATCGAGTCATTCGACCCTGCACGGCCGCTACGAGAACTCGGCTAGCCCTCGAACCGCCATGCTGGCTGCAGCCCGAAGTGGTCCCCACAGCGCGACGACGAGCAGCTCCAACCCGAGCCCGGCGACATACGATACGTTTTGGAGGGACGGCACGCAGCCTCTATCGCGTCGTGGTCATAACTCTGCGTCGCCGCCAGGCGTCGCACAGCCAGTTCTGAGCCTAGCACCTCCAGCCTCTATCCAGCCTTCACGATCGACAGCCGCCCACAACCCGCGTCGTAATTCCAACCCCCACTACACGCCGACGCTCCTCTCCCATTCCCACAGCGCCTCTCCTCATACGCCTGCCCAGCAGAGCTCGCTGCAGGGAACCCCATTACAACGCGTGGGTCGGACGCCCCTGGCCGACCCTATTCTGTTTTCGCCCCACCAGAACGTGCGAGAGCAGGACGCTATCGAAACGCTGCTCTTCATGAGCAGCCCTGGAAACTCTACCAGCATGAAGCACGGCTACGCACCCGCGACATCGTCGTCACAGCCGCTCCCAGGCACACGCCACGCCCTGCCAACGTCGCAGCCCCGCAAGAGCCTACCCAGCCACAGGCCACAGCCGCCTCCGAAGCGTGTTGGCTTTGAGAAGAGCACGAGCATGATGGAAATGGATGTGGATGCTGATTCGCAGACGGGAACCCCCCGAACGGCCGTGCGGAGACGCGTGAGCGGAGGATTCGGTCATCGGAGCCAACTGTCGCTGCCGGCGGGCTTGGGAAGCGGACACTCGCGACCGCGGCCAAAGCTGGCGGACGAGGACATTGAGCGGATGCTGGACCGCGTAGCGCAAGCTGATGACGATAGCTCGGACGACGAGGAGATTCTACTGCCCAACCGACGGGAGGGGGAGATTGTAGGCTAATGGTCAACGGCATCTGGTGGAATTGTAACGAATAATGACTGGCGTTTGGGATGATTGTGCCCTTAGGAACAGGCTTGTTGTGTCTGGTGCCTCGAGAAAGAGCTTCGTTCTGGGCGGGGTAGAATGATGGGCCTAGCCTAGACGACATAAGGCTGTGGATAGTAAAGATCAGGAGACACGGCTTGTACGGTAGGCGATGTAGCAGCTATTTGAGTGAGCGAGATGGTCTGGCAGCAAAATCAGGTCAACATCATGACAAGCACGAGCGTTCATGGTTTGTTTTGGTTTGGTTTGGTCTGGAAGTGGATAGGTATTCATTCGTCGAGAGGCTTTGCAGACTCGACGCAATCAAGGAAAAAAGGTGTATCTAACAGTCGTTGAAAAACCCAATGCCTATAAAACAGTACCCGTCGTTCGTCATTACATCATGCAGCCGTCATAATCAGCACACGCGCCTGCTGCCTGTCCTTTCCTTTCTTTTACCGCTTGCCGAGCAGATTCTGGACGGAGCCCATGAGGCCGCCGCTGCTGCTGCTGCCGTGGTGGCTCTGATACGGGGCACCGTAGCCCTGGTTGTACTGGTTCTGCTGCGGGTACTGGCTGCCGTGGTGTTGCTGCTGGTGGTGGGACTGCTTGTGGCTGTTCTTGGAGCTGAAGCGGTCCTCGACCTTGTTGGCGACGATGGAGCCGACGACGGCGCCGGCCATGGCGCCGAGCTTGCCGCCCATGATCTTCTTGCCGATGAAGCCGCCGGCGGCGCCGCCGCCAATGGTGGACATGATGCCGCGGTCGCCGTCCTCGCCGAACTGGGCGTCCGAGCCGGCGGGGCCGTCACGGTTGTGTTGCTGCTGCTGCTGGTACTGCTGCTGGTTGTGGCCGCCGTAGGAGGAGTTCTGGTCGGCGTAGGTGGGCTGGCCGCCGCCGTACGAGTGTTGGGACTGGGCGCTCGTGGGGCGCGAGTTGGGGTTCGGCGCCGCGCCGTAGGGCGCTAGGTGGTTGTTGTTGTTGCTCGAGGGGGCGGGAGAACCGGCGTACGAGGGCTGAGAGGGGTAGCCCTGGGTTTGGGCGTACGTCGGCTGCTGCTGGGCATATTGAGGCTGGGAGGGGTAGCCTTGGGCCTGGCCGCCGTACGAGGGCTGGCTGTTGCCGTAGTAGTCTGAAGCGGACATTTTGAGGTGTGAGTTGTTGGGAGTTGATCCGATGTGAAAGCTTGAGGTTGATGCAGATGATGGGGAGTCTGGTGTTGTAGGTGATTGTGTTGGTGAGGCGATGGGTGATATGACTTGTTTCTGATCAGGTCAGGTGTGTCTGGCCACAAGGAGAATGGACGGCATCATGGGGAGGAACTGTTATATAATACACACGCTGAAGGCTGACGCGGACACATCAGAGGGGCCGAGCAGACCGGTCATGGGGACCATGTCTAAGGTACCTAGGTACGGATGGCGAGCTATAGACACCGGCGTCCGAGGCGGGGGGCGAAGCTACGGGTTTAGCTGGGCTTAGCACGGCGGGGTGGGTGGGCGTCCGCCAGCAGCAGCAGCCGCTGCTCTCCAGCGTGTTTGGCGATTGGGCACAGAGCGAGCCCTCCTGCTTCTCTGCTGCCTGGGCGCTCTCCTGCTGCTGGCTGCATGACCACGGTTCTCGTAGTGCAGGTGCGAGGCAGGCGCAGCGCTGTGGCAGGCCCAGAGGCAGACCCAGGGGCAGACCCAGGTAGACAGCAGCTCTTTTGCTTCGGAAGGTACAGGGCTGTAACCTACGGCTGACGTGCTCCGCCACTACGCCCCCCGACAAGCCTCAGCGGGTGGAGGTTTCGGACAGCCCGACCGTCATGTGACCTTGTGGGCGTGGCTCTCCTTCCGCGTATGCTTGTGCCCCCTCCTTGGCAACATCACCATCTACCACACCAGAGACTCGGAATTCGGCCTTGGCTTTTTACCCAATGACTCGCATCAGGCACGAGTATGCCGTGGCGAAGATCATGCTTCTCATCCACCTCAGCCTCGCATTCGCGTCGAACCATGAGGCGTTAAACATCCCGCAACGTCACCAGCTGCGGCCATTTGATTCGACGGCTCTATTTTTGACTACCGCTATCACGATCGCCATGCATCACGCTGGAAGCCTTTCCCGCTTCTAGTGTCAGATCACCTCACGATGCGCGCCCTCTTGCGGCACGCCGGTGGGCCGCCCGTCACTTCAATCTCGCCCTCAAGCCTGATGTCCCGGCTCGACGCGCCCACCTTGACGCCGATGGTGCCCTGCGGCACGATCCAGTTCTGGCTGGTGACGTCCCAGTAGCTCAGGTCCTTGCGCCGCAGCGGGAACGTCACCGTGCCCGACTCGCCAGCCGCGAGCTTGAGCTTGGCGAATCCGCGCAGCTGCTTGGGGGGCGTTGCCGGCGCGCTTGCCGGCAGCGTGATGTACAGCTGCGCGACCTCGGCGCCGGCCACCTCGCCCGTGTTTATAATCGTTGCCGTGACCTCGGCGACATCGTCAAAGAGGTCGATGCGTCCGCCTGGTCCCGTCTCGCCGACGGCTGGGCCGCCAATGGCCACCGAGGTGACGGCGATGTTCGAGTACTCGTATTTCGTGTAGGCTGACTCATATTAGCAGTTGCCCATCACCTAGAAGCAGACGCAGCAGAAAGGAACAAGGAACATGAACTCACACAGCCCGAAGCCAAACTCGAAACGCGGCTCAATGTTCTGCGCGTCAAAGTGGCGGTAGTCGACATACAGCCCCTCGCTAAAGTTGTCATCGCCGCCGTTGCGAATCACCTTGCTGCTGTAGTCGTTCTCAGACTTGGCAATCGTGTACGGCAGCTTGCCGTTGGGGTTGGTTGATCCCCAAACAATGTCGACGACAGCGTTGCCGTTCTCCTGCGACGGCAGACCGCCCCAGACAACAGCCTTGACGCTGGGCAGCGCCAGGATCTTCTCGAGGATCACGGCGCCCGTGCTGTGCACGACGACCACAACGTTATCGTTGACGGCAGCTACGGCGGCCACGAGCTCGTTTCCATCGTTCCAAGGGTCCAGGTTGTTGCGGTCGCCGACGTTGCCCTCAACCGTGATGTAACCCTCGCCCGAGTTAGCCGTGATGAAGACGAGCGCAACATCGGCACCAGTGGCTGCCCTAGCACCAGCTGCTGTGTCATCCGTGGTGCTCGACACAATGTCGGTTCCGTCGGCCGCCGCCTGCACCTTGATTGCGTCAAGTGGCGCAACGAGGTACGGGTACTCAACGGCACCCGAGCCCCAGCCCATGCCAAGGGCGCCCTCGTTGCAGCCCTGATCGACGCACGAGTTGATGCCATTGGGGTTCTGGATCGATGATGACCCAATGACGGCGATGCTGCCCGGGGCCTTGAGAGGCAAGATAGCGTCTTCGTTTTTCAGGAGCACGGTACCGTCGCGGGCGCAAGCGCGCACGTTTTCGGCGTGGTTGGCCTGAACGTTGGCCTGGATGTTGACCGGCGGGTACCCGCCGTCCTGGCCGAGGAGATACCAACCTGCAAGAATGCGGCGGCCCATGTCCTCGAGCCTCGACTGCTCGACATCTCCGGCGTCAATGGCAGCCTGAAGCTTGGGGCCCCAGAGCTCGTCGCCGCCGGCCCAGCCGGAGCCGGGCATCGACATGTCCATACCGGCGTTGGCTGCGCCCGATGTCGTCTGCTGGGCCACGAACCAATCACTCATGACGTAGCCAGGGAATCCGAGCTCCGTCTTGAGCAGGTCGTTGAGGACGCCGCTGTTCTCGCACGCGTGGGTGCCGTTGACACGGTTGTAAGAGCACATGACAGCTGCCACGTTGGCGCGCAGCGTGTCGGCAAAAGGCCACAGGTATAGCTCGTGCATGGTGCGGTCGTCGACATTGCTGCTGATCTGCTCACGGTTGATCTCCTGCTCGTTGACGATAAAGTGCTTGGCTGTCGCCTGCACGCCACCCGCCTGCAGAGCCTCGACGGTCACTTGCGACGCGATGCCCTGGAGGTATGGGTCGGGGGCGAAACCCTCCCAGTTGCGGCCGCCCTCGGCGTTCTTGCCGAGAGCGCCGGGGGCCGGACCGAGGATGACGTTGACGCCGGTGCCCTTGAATTCGGCGGCGAGGTAGGCGCCGCGCTGGCGGATGAGCTCGACGTCCCACGTCGAGGCAGCCTGCACGGCGGGCGTGAAGGCCGTGATGCTCCTGCCCCAGCGCACTCCGAGGGGTCCATCGTGCAGGCAGAGCGAGGGGTAGCCGATCGATGACACGGGGCTCGTGTTACCGATGCAGGGACCGTTGGGCGCCTGGTTCCAACCGATGCCGGTGACGATGCCGATCTTCTCTTCCTGCGTCAGCTTCTCGAGGGCCGCCTCGGCTTTAGCATAGGCTGCGTCCCAGGCTGCATTGTTCGTTTGCGCAAGGGCCTGAAGGGTCGACGCCGCTAGGACGGCGAGGAGCTTGTTGACGTGCATGGTGGGAGAGGGGGAGGGGCTGAAGGCCAGCGATGGTAGATGACCTGGATCTGTATGTTCTGCTCGGGAGATCGCTGCCCTTGGGGGGAGGGTGGAGGTACGGTGATGTCCTCAACGAAGCCAGTGCTCGTCTTATAGGCAGACGGACGTCCCCATTGCGTGGGTCAAGGTTTACCCAGGCGTCCACGCTGCGGTGTCTGCATTCCCGTATCCCATGCCTGCTTGCCGCCAAATGCCGTCAATCAAAGTTGGACGCTTGTGTGGCTGCAAATATAAAGGGCCGAGTGATTGCAGCTAGAACCTGGCAACGTGACGTCCGGACGGCCTTGGCTCTCGTCTTGGTCCCGCGGCCAGGACAGGCAGGATGTGCGCCAGCAAACAGCGTCGCTGCGGTTGTGGGCTCGGGAGACTTTGCGCCGGCTTGGTGCGGTCGTGGTCCGCGGGCCGGGTTGCCCTCGATTTGATTGGGAAGGGTATATCTTGCAGCTTGTAGAGGCAGCACGGAGGACCGCGGAAGGAGACTCCCGCAAGGGGTGGCCCCGGAGGTCAGAGCCAAGGTCAGGGGCAGGGCCATGGCCAGGGGGTGTAAAAAGGGATCGTCATTGCGGGGGATAGCGAGCCAAGAAGAGGGGGAAATGTCTACTATACTGGACTTTGTATGCGGGGGAGGCATCAAGGATAATCAAACGTGGACGACGACCTTGGGGGCACTACATAGTTACATGTGGTTGTGCCTCTTGTGCTGGCGCGCACCGGCATTTGGTGTGCCTCGGTTTTGAGGGGCGCCCATAGGCCATGTCTATAGGCTCCTCCTCTTGAGGGATCCCTGCTCGATTCAGGGGGATGCGCTGCATGTTCAGAGTATCCTTCTACACTTTCCCCATGGCACGTCGAATCGCCGAGGTCTGCATAGCGTCGCATCGTTCTCTTGCCTCCTGTTCGCGCACTATCTATCTGGCAGAAGCCGGAATGAGGCCGATTCGCATGGCTTGGCACATCATCCGCGAGCTCTCCCCTGGCCCCGATCTGGGTGGCACTGGCACGCTCAATGACACGGCTCGGCAATCTCGGAGGCTTCTGAGAGGGGAGCTTCTCGTTTTTTTGAGTTTTAGAGTTATCCAGGCTCATCTTTCCTCAGAGGGACCCGCCTACCACCGAAGAAGCCGGTGGTCACCGCACTCCGGCAGTTGGTTTGAACTTGAACACCTAGAGCATGGCTGCTTCGCTTTGACTTGATTGCCCTTGTACAAGCATGATGATATCTTTGGGTCGGTGGGTCGCAAACGTAAACCGTGAGCCAGGCAGTTCCAGGCTTTGGGCAATCCTCTTATTCCCTCAAAAACACAATTGACTGATCTGAAGCTAGCTAACATGGGCATTTGCCAAGTCCCCCGTGTAGAGCGAGAGAGTGCCACATAGCACCTCGAATCGCTCGCATTTGTAATCACGTAGTCGCCAGATTCACATAAATGTCAGACGGTGCGTTCAAAGACCGAGTTGGTCACGACGCTTGTCCTATCGTCGTGCCGATGCAGTCGGGTCGGCACGCCCTTCATGATGACGACCCCGCGCGGCGAATCATGTGTCGTCCTCTGTGCTGAATATGGGGTTAGGAGGATGACTCTGCAACACGACAACAATGCGTAAGTGAGTCACGAACAACGCTGTGAAGCTCGTATAAGCTGCGACTCGAGCCTCAGGGACGCAATCGAAAAGTCTGCTCAAGCTTGTTTACTTGCCCAACCGTTCACGAACCCAATCGCCAGAACCATGGCCACCCTTGTGGATAGGACCGTGTCCCAGACACCCGTTGAGTTTGGCCCCGCCTTGCTCAAGGAATTTCTGATTGACCCTGAGTATCACAACCTCAACCATGGTCCGTGATAACGTCCCCTCATAACGGATTAAGGTTGCTGACTGGACAGGCTCTTTCGGCACATATCCCAGGGCTGTGCATGAGAAGCGCCTCGAGTACCTTACCCGTGCCGAAGCGCAGTCTGATATCTTCCTCCGCCACCAGTACCCCGCTCTCCTGGAAGAGTCTCGAGCTGCTCTCGCTGAGCACCTCAACGCTCCGGTTGAGACGCTCATCCTGGCAGCCAACGCCACGACGGCCCTCAACATTATTATTCGCAACTTCATCTGGGCTGACGATGGTAAAGATGAGGTCATCTCCTTCAGCACCATCTACGGCTCGTGCGAGAAGACGGTCGAGTACCTAGTCGATACGAACCCGGGCCGCCTCTCCTCGCGAACAATCCTACTGACGTACCCCCTCGAAGATGACACCATCGTCGACCTCTTCCGTGCAGCCGTTGAAAAGTCCCGTAGCGAGGGTAAGCGTCCGCGCGTCGCCATCTACGACGTTGTCACGTCCCAGCCAGGCGTGCGCTTCCCCTTTGAGGCCGTCACCAAGGCCTGCCGCGAGCTTGGCGTCGTCAGTCTCGTCGACGGTGCGCAGGGCATCGGCATGGTGCCCATCGATCTCACCGCCCTCGACGCCGACTACTTCCTGAGCAACTGCCACAAGTGGCTCCACGTGCCCCGCGGCTGCGCCGTCGTCTACGTGCCCGTCCGAAACCACGCCCACATCACGAGCACGCTGCCCACGAGCCACAGCTACGTCACCCAGACGGGGCCCAACGCCAAGCCCCGCGCGTCCACCGACGAGGTCGACCCCGCCGCCTTTGCCGAGAGTTTCGCCTTCATCGGCGCCTGGGAGGTGAGCCCCTACTGCTGCGTCAAGGACTCGGTCCGGTGGCGGAAGGAGGTCCTCGGCGGCGAGCAGCGCATCGTCGACTACCTGTGGAAGCTGGCCAAGGAGGGCGGTCGCAAGACGGCCGAGGTCCTGGGCACCGAGGTGCTCGAAAATGCCGCGGGCACCCTGACCAACTGTGCCATGGTCAACGTGTTCCTGCCCATCGAGGCGCCGGCCGAGGACGAGGCTGCTATTGCGGCGTTCGTCATCGAGGTGCTCAGGGAGGAGTACAAGACGTTTGTCCCTGTTGGTGTCCATGGTGGGCGCTGGTACGCGCGCATCAGCGCGCAGGTCTACCTTGGTCTCGATGACTTTGTCTGGGCTGGCGAGACGCTCAAGGCTGTCTGCGAGAGGATTGCCAAGGGTGAATACAAGCAGTAGCTTCTCTGCAGGTCACGAACCGTGTCATAATATCACCAGACCGTCGTTTGCTTGCTGCCTTTTCTTGTGATAAACCGCCATGAAATGTGTTTCAGGATGCGCCTTGTCGTGTTGATCTCTCTGTGAACACTTTATTTACCGCACTGCTTAGTTTTTCAAGACGAATCTCGGTGAAGAGCAGAGGTAGTTGTGTGTCTCGGGTTCACAGCATCGAGGAGCAAATCGACTGCCCTGAACGCAAGTCATGACTTCAGACGCCTTGAGGCATGTTGGGTGAGGTCAAAATCACGATCGCGCACGCTGATTTGTTTGCCAGTCATACGAGGCAGACGTCATGCATTCATAAGAATAAATAAGAAGATCTATATGTACCACCCAAGTATCACCGTCAACGCCGGCACGGCGCCGACCAGAATTAAGCTCGCAGCCCTTGCGGGCCCCGCCGAGCTCTCATTGACCACACTGCGCGAGTGTTAGCTCGGCTGAGGGTTGGTCGCTAGCACTCTCGCGACTCACCCTCGTAGGGGCTGCGTTTCGCCCGTCCCCTGTTTTTGCTGCTGCTGCTTACCCAGCTGCGTGGGCCGGCCTTGACCGTCTGCGTGCTCGGCGAAACCGAGAGAGTTGTTGCCGCCATTGAAGGCCACAAACTGCGTCTTGAACATGACGTCGCCGTAAATCTGAACGTCCGAAGTGGTCGCCTGAAGAGCACCGAAACACACTGTAACATGTCAATTCTATAAACAGCCGTCATATCAATAGGGAACTTACTCGTGTCGCTGACTTGGGCGAAGTTGATGTCGCTCCCCTTGACGCGCGCCATGTACAGTCCGCCAATGTCCAGTGCCAGGTCAGGCAGCTGCGTCGCACAAGGGAACGTGAAACCACCCTGCTGCTGGTCGTTGACGGCGCCGGGAACTGCTGCGTAGTAGCCCTCGACGGTGACGGGATTGGCGAGGATGATGGTTGTGCCCGTGTCAGCGATGGCCTGGCCACCGGCCTGGCCGGGCTGAGGGGCGCCACCATCGACCGAGAAGCTTTCGCTCGGAAACTGCCAGAAGCCGTTTGAAGTGTTGACCGGAACGTACGTCATCTGACCAACAAATTTGGCGGGGTCGACACGGCCAAACTCGTACGCACCGACGGCGGCCTTCTTCAGGTCAGCGGTAAAAACGGGCTCGGCGAGGCTCGGCATAACGTTGTCGAAGAAGGTCTTTTGCTTCTGAGGCTTGACTGTGTTAAGTTTGGAAAAAGCGAGGCCCATGAGGCCATTGTTCGCGGTATCCTCGACAAAGGAGGCGGACAGGGCTGTCGCCATCTCAATAGCCTGCCGCGTGACCGTGGCGCCCCCAATATCGACAACGTCCGTGCCGACGTTGCCCGCGGCTCCAGATCCGTCGCCATATGAAATATCAAAGTTGTTTCCGCGAAGCATGGAAAATGTTTTACTCCGGGCAGGGTTGTAAATTTCGTGACCAGCCTGTGCCTGTCTGCCGAGTTGGGAGGTGAAGACCCAGAGGTCAGAAGACCCGGTATCAAAGTCGACAGTAACCGTCTGGCCGCCAATCTTGATGGGCGAGACATATTCAACATCGTTGCGGATAGGAGTAGCCTTGACCCCCCCCGTGCCGTTGCCCCGGCGAGCCTTGAGCTTGGCTTGTGCCGTCTGTCGAGCAACAGTCTCCTCGAGGCCCTGCGGCACAGGCATGCTGTACTTGCGGTAGGCTCTCAGAAGCTGACGGGGCCCATTGTGCCCTTGGAAGTTCTCGTTCTTGACACGCGGGACGAGGAAGGAGCGTTTCTGGACCGTATTCCGAGTGTCGGGCCGAACAGGGGACGCCTCGGCGAGCAGGACAAACAGACCCAAGCAGAAGAGCAGTGAATGGACCGGTGAACGCATATTGACTGGATAAGATCCAAGTGAGTGAAGTTTCATAGTCAGATATCGGAAGGAGAGGATGTCATGCCACGCCAGGTGGACAAGGACAACGAAATAAAGCGAACCTGGTGAGTCTATCACCAAGGTTCCAAACAGTGAAGGAAACGGGTGGAAGCAGAAGACAAATACGGAACGTGGAAAGAATGGAAATGGGTCAAAAGTAAGAAAGCAACACCCTCAAGATATCACCAAACCCGACAGCTCTGGAGCAAACAGAATGAGAAAGGGCAGCAGAGCCTCAAGACTGCGGGGATCTGACGGATTTACATGTTGCAGGAATCGGACGAGGTGGTTCGCCTAGCAGGGAGGCTGACGACCGCCAAGTCTCAGATTGGACGGCCAAGCGGGCCAGGACCACGGACTGTGCTTGCGGCCGTGTTGCGTGTTTCTTTTCGGACCATCAAGGATTGTCGTTCGACGGCAAAGCCTGCCTACCCAGTCAGCGTCGAAACAGGGGATCAGGGAGCCGTGGGAGGGCGGGGAGGGTGTTTGGGATGTGCATCGAGATCGGCTAGCCAGGGGTTGGTGCCCCCCACCATGGGAGAGCCGCTCAGGGGTTGCAGCGATCTGGCTGGGCGGCCGGCGTGCGGGCTGGATGCAAGTGTTCAGCGCTAGAACATGGCGAGCGGTGATGGATGGCCAGTCGTTAGGTGTCTCTCTGCCCTCCTCTGAGGCAGGTTGTCTAGTGCAGTGTAGTGCAGTGGATGGCGATGAAAAAAATCTCCGAGTGGGAAATGCTGCATGGCGATTGACTCGCAACTGCTGTTGCTACACAATGGAGCAGGACCAGGATGCTGAGTGTCCCTTGTGTTGAGTCGGTATTGGGGCTCAGCGGCGGTTCTCATTGTCGACGTGAAATCCGCTTCGGAATGGGATAGCCAGCCTGGTTAGGCCTAGCAAAGCATCCGATGAACTACTTTCTTCGCCATCGAGAACAAAGAATCAGTACCCTTCTTTCTACGCGGCATCGATCAGGCAGGTGTTCGTCCTTCTGCGTGCGTGGTCAATCTGTCGCGAAGTCGGGATCCCGTCGAGAAGCGTGTTTGAGGGAGCCGATTAGCCGCGATAGACGACCAATGCCTCTGTTGCGTGGGGCTGGCCTCACGCAAGGCCGTGACGGCATATGGCCTCGTCATGCTTCCGAAACTGTTTTTGCTAATAACTGGGCTCCAAGCATCATGGCCTTTGCCGTTCTACCCAGCGCAAGGGCGAATCCTGTGGGAAATGCATAGTTAAGAACAACAGCGGCGGAAACGAGATGCCGTCGTAAACATGTGTGTGGCTGCTGGTCTCCCAGCAGTCCGGGGCAAGCAAGGTCCAGGGGTCAGTCTCGCACTGACACTTCAACAGGAGGCCTCGGCATGGCCTTTTTTCGGCGATGCATGCTCTTCCATTGCTACTCGCAATCAAGAAGCCACAGCCATCGTTGTCGAATGCTGCTTGACCGCAAGTTGGTCCACGAAGTGGCCTTAACGACAGGCCAACGGACGCTTAGCAGACGGGCTTGACTGCTGGCGGCGCAGGAGTTCCTTTTCCCCCTTCTTTGTCTTGACTCAGGCTTGCCTGGCTTGAAACGACGAGTTCCAGCTCCACGGCAAGGGAAGCTTTCGCTAGGACACTTCTCACGGAACACGAAGTAGCAATTGCTCAAGAAGCTTCATGCAGTCGCTGGCGGTGAAATCGATAACCTGGACGATACAAGCCTCAACGATGAGGGATTCAGGTGAGGAGAAATGAATCGAGTCGAGTCGAGACGAGACCCAGGTATCCCATCTCCAGCGAACAACCGATATTCTGCCGCTCAGCCGGTAGGAGCCATTCGTGTCAGCCACCCGAGGGCCACCAGAAGGAACTGACTCCCGCCTTCTGATTCGGCGTTGACGAAGAACGACTAGGTGGGGAGAGCAAGGAGAGCAAGGAGAGCAAGGAGAGCAAGGAGAGCAAGGAGAGCAAGCGACAGCGGAGTTCCGGAGAGAAACATGACAGGCCACGTGATTCCTTCTGACGCGTCCAGTTCTCTCATTGGTCGATTGAATGCCAGCCAACCAGACTCGTTCCCCGACCGGGGCCACCCACCCACCCAGCGTCGGCGTCTGTCTGCCGGGGGCCCTTTCGCTGTCTGCCCCGCTCCCCTCGCCGCTGTCAAGCCTCTCCAGGCGGCTCTCCTCAGGCCCTCAGGCCTTTCAGACAGACCCTCGGACCCTGCCCACCTATTTTGCCTCTGCCTTGCCTTACCTCACCTGTCCTGGGTAGTACCACTGAGGCGTTCAAGGTGCTGCGCGCTGCAGGGAACGCTGTCAGGGCTCCATCAGGACCAGCCTCGCTGATTTCGCCTTCAACCGTCTCCGTCTGACCCTGCGACCCTACGACCCTGCGACCCTGCAACCCGCGACCCTGCAACCCGCGACCCTGAAGAGCGAGCTACGGCCACGAGACCCTGCCTGCCACATTGCGACAGGTGCCCCCCCCCGAAACAAATCCCCTCCCCCCACGACCCGCGACCCAATACTGCATCGCCACCGGTGTCCCATCCATCTCCTCCACTTCTTCGCCACCATCAACCGACCGACGACCGCCGCGCGTGCGGCTTTCTGTCCCGAGCTGTGACGATCC